TACTCATCGAATGAAATCACGACTGCAGCAGCGCGTGAGTCACGTCTCAGCGTCAGAATCTCATCTGCAACACTTACACAGATTTATTTTTCAGTTCTGCACGTGAGACAGAACAGCTCCGTCTTCTTCTCTTGTTCTGTACGCAGATATTTGCGAATTAATTATTACTAATTGAATCAGGAGTAGCTGTGGTGACACATTAGCAGCTAAACACATAAGAACTTTAAATACCTTTTAAAAGTAGTAGAGAAACACTCTTAATTTGATCTTAACTGCATTTGTTTTGACTCAACTCCTGAGACTACAGTTGCTATTTATCAGTTAAGCGATTTTTTCTCCTCAGTTGTTTAAATGTTTTCCTAATCGTGCATTATTATAAATTAAGTGCCGTTACTTGGTGATTATGGAGCTTCGTTTACTAAACAGCTGAAAAGCAAAAGTGTGCAAAATGAGTCATCAGGTAATGAAATATTCAGTTGCAGTAGAAACTACAACAATGCTGCATTTGGTCTTGATTCTATTGAATAAGGTGATTGACCAGATAAAGAGAAAAGAAATGTCCTGGCAGTGTAACCTCAGTGACAGTGTCCATCTTTTATTGGTATGTACACAGTTTTCATCCAGAGATACGGGAACTTACGAGATGTTCTGATCAGATAACCTGCTGATGTCTTAATCCTTTTGTTCTTTTGAGAAATAGGTCATTACCTGATTGTAGGTGTGCACTGAATTGCCCCTTGCAGAGGTCATGTGACTCCAAATACAAAGGGGGCCAGTCTTTCCACCTTCATCACACTTATCTAACCAAGAATTGTTTCAAAACAAACTCACACTGTTGATAGTGTGAAGATAAGACGAGGGGATAATTAACTGTGTATTTAGTCAAAAATCCACCCGGCATAAACCCCCCTGCCCTCATCTATTGGCTGCTGGTGGGGGGTGGAGGTTGTGGCTCGTAAACTACGAAGCCTTGCTGGTGTGATATCTCAGGGGCCCACCTGTATAAAAGGTGCCGACAGGTGCTCTCCCTCCACAATAACACCAAGGCTGATCAAGGATGTGGATGCTCTTGTTTTTGGGTGCCTTGCTGGGGGCGGTGGGCTCAGAGGAAATGCCCACTACCAGAAGCTCTCAGCAGCTTCAGGCCCTTCACTGCCCGCCCTGTGAGCGGATCCACTGCTCCTCCAGGAGGGTGCTGAAGCTCCGGTGTAAGGGTGGCGTCACGACGGGCGTCTGCGGCTGCTGTCCGGTATGTGCCAGAACCGAGGGGGAGACCTGTGGAGGGACCTGGGACTATCTGGGGAAGTGCGACGAGGGGCTGGTGTGTGTCCATCAGGACTCATCAGCTGACAAACCAGAGGCAGAGCGCAAAGGGATCTGCAAAGCAGGTGAGATTAGAGTTTATACCCTCAATTATAAACAAACAGGTAGTGTGAGCTTGATGGCATCTTATCACTGATAAACATGATGTATCTTAGTGAGGAAAATGTCTTGAAAAGATGCAGCAATTTTACACACAAAAAAATGCAACATAAGTACATCAAGTATTCATCAAAAATATTTCTAGCATTTTGTATTGTTTCACTGATTTTTAAACACTTACAGTAATGCATCATTTGTCTCGAAAAGCATGGAAAAAAGATGCAGCAATGTTTACATCTTGCATTAAAAAAATCAACAATATACAGTTTAAATCCAAAAAAAATCTTGTGGTAGATAATTTTGCATTACTGTACTAATTTATAAACACTTACAGCAATGCATCATATGTTTTGTACGTTACATTTCCATCTGCGAAGTAAATAAAAGAAAGCAATAGAGTAAAAAACAAAAAAGCAATATTTCACTGGAAGTAAACACAATGTCAAATCCTTAATCTTGCCTCAAAATAGAGTAAATTTACTCAGTTACATTTCATCACTGCAGTCGACCATTGTAGTAGGAATGGTGCCAATGTGGTAAATGTAGTTTATGAGCTGTGAAGACTGATAGTGTGGTCAAGGCTTCCTTTGATTCAAAGGTTTCTGCTCGCAGTTAAGCCACAATTACCCCTCTTATCTGTCCGCGGTGAAGAGAAGTGTCACCGTTACTGATACGGTATCTGACGTCCTCCGACAGATTTTCATGTTTTGCTGCTACTCAGGAGATGTGAATATAAAATCTGACACATTCCACTTCAAAAGATTCTCATTCAGTGTCTTGTTTTAAATTGTGTTTCATGCAGTGATTGAAGCTCTGGATCCAGAGAGCTGTCACCCAGAGTGCACCGTGGAGTACTGCCAGGCCAACCCCACTGAAATCTGCTCTGCCAGGTGACTATATTTACTAAACCCCCCCCTCCCTAATGCCCTCTATGTTGCATTTTTAACAGCAATCTGAATTTCCTTTGCTATTTAGATCTGTGTCTCTGGAGCAGAAAGCATGCCAGGGCTCCTGCCAGCACACCTCCTGTTCAAGCTGTTTGCTGCTGAAGCCCCCGTCGTGCCCGCAGACCTGCAGCCCGTCGGATTCTACCTGCCTGCACCAGTTTGGGAAGTGTGTCCACAATCACCTGAAAACAGTTCCTAACCATGTGTGCAACAACAGCCTGCAGGTACGACAAACTCTAAAAAAAAAAAATCCAAATACAAACCCTGCTTTCATTACTGCAATCCAACACTGTGTTCTGTGTGTTTTTTTTCTCCCTGCAGAATCACAGCGAGGGGCATTTGGTGTGTTTGGTCCCAGACTGTCCAAACTCAGCGAAGTAATTCCTTGTGTGAAACCAAGAGGAGCTCTTCATCAGATCATGTAGCAAAATGTAAAAAGGCAGCTATCTTTGGACTTTGTGAATATCTTGAAAATAACTGATTTTATACACAGTGTAAATCTGAATATAATCCTGTAAAATGACTTGTATTTTAAAATGATGAGAAATAAAATCCCATAAACGATGCCGTCTGTTTGTATGTGTCTGATGGGGATGATCAGGTTGGGTTTATGGCGATCCAGGTTTCAGCTCACGTTGTCCTTTCTTGTGCTTAAGAATTTGTTTTTACTGGAGATTACATTAAATCGGTACCTCACTGTTCAGAACAGTTAAATGTGGATTAATTAATTCAATCAATCAAATGTTGGTCAATAATAAAACTCCATCTAAAATGATCAGATTATCACTTTGTATTGGGGGTTGAGTTAATCAAACAAAGGTCCATAAAAATGAGTCAACAGGTGAAGGTCATCCATAAAATAATAACCAATAAGGTGCTCCACAAATCACCTGCATGATGTTGAATCCAGTTTTTGTTTAAACTTGAGGTGGGGCTCTATAGATGCTGGGCCTTTGATCAGTCCGCCACTTTGGTTTACACTGAAATATCTCAGGAACTACTGGATTGATGGTTGATAAATTCAGTCTAGACACACGTTAATGTTTGTAATACTTTGGCTCATGACCAACATCTAGTAGCATTTCCATTAACCTCTGCTGGGCTTCTTGTTTACAGCTTAATTTTGGTGCAAATCTTTACAAGCGTTACACCGGATTGTAGACTTATCTTGAGTTTAGACAACCATCTTTATTATGACCACTGAATCATGAATGAATCACTTTGAAAACCTGCACCAGGAGCAAAGATTTTTAAAAAGCAAATGCAGCTTGAAGCAAAGCACTGAAGTGGAACAATGCAGGTAAAGAATGCAGAGAATTAAAGTGTGAAATCGGAGCCACCGCTGTTTGTTCTGGTTCAGTTCTTCCCATTTTGGTGGTTTCTTCTGGCTCACTAGTGAGTCCCCTCTACCATCGCTGCCCCTCTGACAGTTGATGGTTATTGAATAACAGACAGTTTATGAGGCAGCAATAATGAAGCTTGTACAGAAAGGGAATAAAGTGTACAGTAACAATGGGCAGTTTGTTCTGTGGCCTTCAAATGCGAGCCCTTTCTGAAGAAGAGAAAAGTTTATCTGAAGGATTTCGCAAGGTCGAATTAGTTTTTAAACCAAAACAAAGGCCTGGCTTTCTTTCATCTTGTGAATATTAAATAACATCAGGTGTTTAATCAAACTGAAGAGACTTGTTTCTAATTTTTTAAAAACCCAGGGGAGGGAAATCAGTAACGAATCCACTTTGCTGACAGTGTTGTACGATTTAATTGGGAAAAATGAACCATTATCTGTCTAAATGTGTACTTTGATTAAATGCACCATCAAATTTCTATTTTTAATTCTTACATTTTTTAAATTTCTTTCCTATTTGCGTGAAATTCCAAATTAAGCACTCCTTCATTTCAGAAAATACATATATATTTTTTTATATATACATTACTGCTACAAAAAATGATCCAAATTCTCCTGCTTTTGTACATTTCTTGAGGTTGCAACTGTGAACGCACATCAGCATATCAGGCAACTATTAGGACGACAAGATCTGTCACCAAAGCGGGCCGCCTCTGTTATCAACCCCATATATCCGTCTGACTTTTTTTTACTGATAAAAACAGCGGATAACAGAGGACTGTCTGTGTGCCAGCTGTAATAAATGTGCCCCTGACAGAGGTAACCCACGTTAACGTTTGAATAGAACACAAAACCCGAGAACAATAGAAAAGAACAAGAGAATATTACGAAAGAGTGACCTCCCTCACATGCAGGGAGCTGTATTTGTAAAAGTGTCGTTTTATTAGCGTCAAAAACTTCAAACAAATTTCAAGAAGCTGTTGTCTTTAAGTGGATTCACATCTTCTTTCTTTACTGCTGTGGGGATATTAAAGTAAATCTTAAATAATTAAAAAAGAGCATGTTAGTGGCCTTTCTTCAGATCTATCATCATAAATCTGTCAGCATCGATAATTACGGGGCAACATCTAAAAACTTCAAGTTGAGGGTTCATTCCACAAACAGTCGACCACCTCCCGGTCGTCTCTGCTGCATTTCACAGCCCTTTTTCCTCCCTTATTTTTCCAGTTTGTCTGCACTACTGCTACAAAATAAAAGCAAAAAAAAAAGTGAAACAAGTGAAATCATGAGGTTTAAAAATGTCCTGATTTATTTATTTCCAAAAGACACTGAGCGATACAAAGTCACTCAATTAAAAAATAAGCATTTGAAGTGGAACTTTAGTCATTAGTGTCTGCTGAACAGATGAATCAGTGATATTAACGAGTCAGAACAGTCAGTGATAGAAATCCTCAGTACTTAAATTAAGGAAATAAAACAGATCCAGGAAGCATACGTCGTGCAACTATTTAAACAAGATGATTGTGATGTGCAGCTTTTTTTTTTTCTTTTCTCCCCCTGTGGTTAGTAAAACTGTGTCCTCTGAGCACTCAAACCACACAGTAGCAGAGATTAGCTACGAAACGTTTACTCAACCGAACGAATAACAGAGGAAGCATCGCAAAACATTCTTAAAATGCACATTTCAGCAAAACACAACAGGATCCTCGTAGCTGCTATTTGAAAAGATATGCTATCCTGGAACAACAGTAATTATACAAATAAAGAAAAGAAAGAGAGAAGAGAAAACAGTAGAAAGGTGCATAAAACTGTGTCTTTGCTCAGGCCTCCAGTCAATCACTGATCAGGAAGGCACTGCGGATAGCGAACATCCAGGCCGTCTGTCGCGCTGTCACCTGAATAGTCTGTTCCAAAAGGATACGAAGGTGGTGGAGTTCAAGGCACCGATGAATATGAGCAGGAGCAGGTAGAGACTCATCATGACGGCGAAATGTGTGCGGGAATGTCTGATGGAGGCAAACACACAAAAGAGACGTGTTTACATGCACAGAACAACAACTAAGCAGAATTCATTAAACACTCTTTTATGTAGTTATTTCAGTATCGAATATATATTGTAATTAAACATATAATTAGGATGACACTATATTGTTACATTTTTTTCTTTCTTTTCTACTTTTATTTAATTCCTTGGGAGCTTTTTGTATTCTTACCTAAGTCTGATGCATTTGTATTAAAGCTGCAAGACATTTTTTTTATCTTTGTGCCAACAGATATGGATAAGTACTGATAAGATAATATTAATGTGTTATTGCTACAGTTTTCTATTGTGTAATGCTTTTTTTTTTTGTTCATTATGTTTGTATGTTTTTCTTTAATTCAATGGTTCTTACAAGCTTCTATGAGGATTTAAAGTCCATATTATTGCTCTTAGTTATAATCGTAGTCTGCTGAAGTCTCTTTAAGTTCTTTCAATATACAAAAATCCTAAAGATATAGTTTATTTTTTTAAAAAAAGAGTATGGCTATGCATTACAAAATGACGCTGTAACATTAGAAACAATATTCACCTGTTAACCTGAAGAGCTAGAGTTACACCCTTACCTCACCTAGGTTGTATCTCCTCGGATGCTAATTGTCGTGCGAGGTATGCTGGTTTGCTTCATATGGAGTGAAGCCTATGGAGTGAACTTAATACTGAAAATTATTAAAATTATTTAGAGTATACATTTAGCATCCATACACCCACAAAGTCTATATGGACACTTGTGTAGGTAAATATATAAACAGGTTGTATGTGATGGTACTCTGTCTCTGCTGCGTTCCCACTATTTTTTTGAATGTTTTGTTTTATTTACAGAATGTTATGTCATCCTATTGGCTTCATATGGAGTGTGTATGTTTGGCTGTGAAAAAAAGAGAAAATTTAATAAAAAGAATTTTTTTTTTTTTTTTAAAACACTCCCACTGTTTCAATTTGAGCTAAATTGGATGATAAAATTTGTGTGCACAAATTCTATTAGCACAAGCCTGAAGCTTAATTAATGTATGTTCTTTACACACAAGTTAGCTGCACAACAAGAGCTACATTCAGACTGTCCACTTGTCCACTCACTGACTCACTAAATACCGTAAATTCCAGACTACTGAGTGCACCTGAATTTAAGCCGCACCCACTTACTCTAAAAAGAAAACAGGTTTTGTACATATATAGGCCGCACTTGTTCATAAGCCGCAGGTGTCCACGTTGTAACATGAGATATTAACACAGAAACCACTAAAGTCGTCTTCTTCAGTGTCTGAACTGAACAGCCTCAGAATTACTTCGTCACACATTTCCTCAGTCTCTCTTTCGTTGTCGTTCTCAATGTCACTTTCATCTCGAGACAAATTCCTAAAACTTGGAAAAATCCATAAATTAGCCACATCATTGTTTAAGCCGCAGTGTTAAAAGCGAGTGAAAAAAGTAGCAGCTTATGGTCTGGAATTTACAGTAATGCTTGCTACATATAAGACCCACTAAGGGAAAAGGGCTCTAAGATGTTGCTATCTTTCAGACACAACTTGGATGAATCACTGACACATAATCCTGCGCTTGATATTTGCAATTATCCGTCAAACAAACGGCTACACATCTGCACTGCATTTGAGGTTGTGGATACTAAAAAGTTACTATTTTAAGATAAGTGAACTTAATTTTAACCAACATATCTGTCCACAACAATGAATAATAAACTTCATTGGATAAACATGTGTAAATGTAACTTAATTATATATATTAAAGAAGTGCTAATAAACTAAAAGTTTAGACAGAGCAGCTACAGTCTTAAGAGAGACGACCAGTCACTGTGTGGTTGAGACATCTGAGGAGTATTATTTACACCAGGCACAGGAAAATGTCATTATCACTTCTTCTGAGAAAACAGAGACCATCCACAATGCTTAGTGGTCTGTGTCAGTGGATGTAGTGTTTATATATTTTGGTGATTCTGTAGTGCATTATAAAGTAGAATATTTATAGTTGAGAATTTAAAAAGTGCTACAAAAAATTGCTGCTTCACAATGTAGTGGGCTGAATCGTGGGCGAGAGAACAACACTGCTAAGATGTGTCAAAGTGATTCTTACCTGGACAGGTGCCTCCTCTGAGAGTAAACAAGCAGGTACTTGACTCTTAAAAGCTGATTGTTGGTGACTATAAAGTATTTCTGTGGTACATCCCCTCCCTCGCTGTTCTTTGCCCTCGAGCGCTGGCGGTCGATGATTTCAGAATCTGAAACGGAAAACGAGTGGGAGGCTTTAATAAGCAGCGATATAAGCATCAGTGTCACAGGATTCACAATCTGTGTGGCTCCATGTGTCCAGTGAGTCACAGGGTTAAACTCACCTTTTCTCTTCACCTGGCACTTCACATCTGGATGATCAATGATTTCACACAAGGCGACACAGCTGAGTTGTGGACCCAGGATGCTTTCTCGCCAGCCGTTGCTGTGAGGGCTGTAGAGAACAGCCATGCTGAGGTCGCTGGTGAGGTAGGTCCCCTCTCCAAACACTGAGTTCTGCACATGCAAAAAATGCAATCACATCGAGCGGATGTTAATTTTCAGACAAACCAAACGGATGGATTTGATTTCCACTCAGTCATCATCAAGTTAAAAGTCTTTCTTTAAAATTCTATTATATCAGGTCCACAATGAACAGCTTCTGTAATGTTCACAGTACTGAAAGTGACTGCTGATGACCTTGTTGAGGTGACAGTGCAGCCCGTTGTGAATGATTGAGTGAAAGTTCTCCAGGCGGCTCCCATGGAATGCATAGAAGACATCTCGTCCTTCTCTTGTCCTCTCAAACCTGGCGTTCATCTGATCGGAGTACTCCAGCTCAAAGAGGAAGTCCGGCACAGGCGCAGAGATTCCTTCATTTTCTGTCAGGTTACACAGCTTGGAATACTGGTGAAGATCAAAGAAACACACAGTAAGAAAAAAAAGCAGGCAATAAAAGAAACTGTGGTTTATGTATTTATATCTGTAGCAGCGCACCTCATCTTTTTGTAGTGTCTTTACAGCAAAGCTCTTTGAAGACAGAATCCAGTGTGTGAGAGCCAAATGATGATCTCCTTCTCTGGGTCGTAGCCTCACCAGCTCTCTCACACCAGGCAATGAGTTCACATCTGCCAGCTACAGAATAACACATTTTTAAAAATCTTATTCACACAATCGGAGTCAAACCTGGCAGGAGTGTTTCTCTGTTTGTCTTTTACTCTTTACACATTTTGGTATTAGATTATTTATTATGGTAACACCCAAAGATCCAACTCTGTACATGTATGTACACTGTCAATCAAAATGTTGTCACCACATTTAGTTCTTGGTTTTTAAATCAAATTTTCAGAATAAATATCTTGAAATTACAATATACTACACAACCAGACTCAGCCTTTCATTTCTCACAGTAATAACAGCCTGTGTTTGATGAGTCTGACAATGGCACCCCATCACGGCTGATGAGTCATTTAAAGTGAGCCACCAAAGACATAAAAAGACTCCTTGTATGACTTCTAATTCCTCACCCAAGGCGAGAGCAAATACGGAGATACATTAACAATGTCATTTGTTTGTCTGTCAGCAAGTCTACACAAAAACTAGTGGGCTAAATTTGATTAAATCTGATGGGGAGGTGGTGTGTGGCCAAATGAAGACCACATAAAATTTTGGTGCTATTTATTGTGAATACATTTGTTTGTTTTATGTTGTTTTTTTTTTTTTGTAACATTTCCCACCAAAATTCATTGATTATACTTCAGAAATGTTTATCTGGCTCCTTGACCTACCTCTTCAGCAATCTGCATGTTAATGTTTTAAATGTGTGTAGTCTATGCTGTCTCAGAGTGCTGTTCTTCTGTTTTCTTAACTTGCATAAAGCAACCTTTAACAGTGCTTTACTGCCACCAAGTGTATGTGAACACTGCCAACTCCAAACTCACAGTGTGCATGTGTACTCTTTCTAAACAAAATTGAAAAGCCACATTTTCCTTAACATATTATGTCTACAGTGTTTGATATGTAAGCCTAACAGCTACAGTATAGGGTCTGACTTTCACTATGACTCTTACCAACTCCTCAAAGTCCTTATTATCACCACTTATGTATCGAGGCGGGAAGGGTCTGAGCAAAGAGTCCCTCTTGTAGTTCTGTGCAGCAGCAACAAACAGGCTGCAGCGGAGGTCTGCTGCCACTGGGTCTCTGTGCAGACAGGAGCACACCAGCTCTCTGACGGCTTCAGGTGGCAGCGGTGGCTGCATTCCCAGCACTGCAAACAGAAGCGATAAGATAACACACCAGTGAGCTCAGCCACAAATTAAGCTATGTCTTAGCACTTCAATAAACTGCTCATGTAAACAAATATGAGAGGCTGAACACTGCAGCACTAATGTGTGAAGCTTGGCCTCGTCTAGCTCCACCTCGAGTTCCCGCTGCACCCCAGTTCGCACTATTAGGTAACCTTGTTCAAACTTTCTTATATTAATTATTCAGATTTGATTAAGATTTTTTCCCCAATATCCTATATCTTAATATAAGAGGGGGGGAGTGGAGGAACAGATGCACCCATACCAATCTCTCACATTGCCTACTTGTAAATGCAGTCATGCTGATTGTCACAGAAATGATGCTGAACATTCTGGTGGCATTATAAAAAATATAAAACAAAAGTAAAGTAATATTAGTTATGCCAGCATCTTAAGTTCCATACAAGACCGACTGTAATCTTGACCTTTTGCACATCAACAATAAACTGAGAGCTGGACTGGGTCAGCTCCACCCATGTGCCTCTGCAGTGAACACCACTTGGAAACTTGTATGTAAGTGCTTACAGGAATGCATGGCTGCATGCATTTCTGTTTTATTTCTATCAACCTGTATTCTACAGATTTTATCTTGGTTTATTTCTTTATTACCAACATCTCCAGATTACTTGTTTTGTCTAATTCTAAACCCAAAATCCAAGCATAATCAGTTTTTCATGTGTGATAACAACAAGCTTCAAATCTTTGTATTGGAGAAACTACAAGCAGCAAACATTCGACTTTTTTTGGTGTCACAATTGTTGCCGACTAGTTTTCTGTCAGCCAACGAATCAGTTAATCAACTTGTTGCTGCAGCTATTAGCTCTACATAAGTGGGTAAAGAAATTGTTATGTTGGGTCAAATTATTTTTTATTAATGATAAATATACTGATTTTGTCAGTGTACAGGTCAGCTGCTTGGTCTATAAAACATAAAAACAGTGAGGAATGCCCCTCAGTATTTCACAAAGATCAAACATGGTCAGATTGCTAGTTTTGTCCAACCCATACTTTAAATCATTTCAATATCCATGTTTACTATAATTTAATCAAAGTAAAAGCATCATATCCTCACATGTAGGAAGCCAGAGTCATTAAACGTGACTTCTTGATGCATGTTTTGGCAGTGTGTGCTCCTCCCCCTGCTCTTCTTCTGAGTGGAATAGTTCTTTTTATACAAACCCTTACATTTTACTCAGTCGTTTTGCAAACCAGTCCACTGGCTAAGTTTAGCTCATTTACTAAATTAGCAGTTACATACTTTAGCTAGTGCGAAGTTAGAGCCTGTGTTACTTTAACAGTTAACGTTTACAGTAGCTTTTTGGCTTAACGTCAGGACAAAAACTGACACTTCAAAACAAGAGTTGAGCTCAGATTTTTGTTGTGCCTCACTGTTTAGTTTCTGTGTTTGGTTGGTTAGTAACGCTGTGCCTCTTAACTAGCACAGCAGGTTGTGAGGAAGCTAATGGTAACAATGCTAACATTAGCTGAGCCACTACAAGTGAACATATCTGTCGCTCTGCAACGTTACTAACGACAAATACAACACTGTCGGACTACTGTAGCTTCCTGTTTGTGCTAAGAATACATCACTGAGGCGCCCAGGTCTATTTTACCTGACAGTCACTATTTTTTACATAATTAATTGCTCTTACCTTCAGTCTTCCTCAACTCATAACACTGCAGGAAGAGCTAACGTTAGCTTCAGGCACTGCTGCGTTCAAATGCAGTAAAAATATTCACATTTACGTTAACACAAACGTGGCAGGCGAATTAGCAAATAAAAACAAGTGGAAGCCGTGTCAGCAGTTTAACATAAACGTAGAGCATATCGGCAAAAATACACAGCACAGCAATATACGTTTGGTTGGCTATTTTGAAATCATAACTCTAGCATGGGCTCTGAAGCAGCATGAATGGAACATTTACGAGGACACGGGAAGGCAGCATTCATAACAGTGCTGCACTGATATCCAGACAGTCATCTAATGTGTCAGAGTGGAAATTAAATATCACTCATTTTCCTGGGCCAGCTGCTGCTCAGAGACAGAGAGACGCTTTCTCAGGTCGAGAGGCTTTATAGGCTTATCACAAGGACCTTGCAGTCTTATAAATTTGAGGCAAAATCTGTATAGACCATAGGTATTGTCACCATACATACAGCATGTGAGGGAACACTAATAATTTTTTCCACTAGAACTTCCCCTTTTTGCTCTACACTTTTGACTACACCTATAAGCAATCCTTCTACTATGACTACAGTCAAGTCTAAAGTACATTTGTGCTTTGATCTTGTAGGAACTATTGTATTGTGTTCAACTAATGATCACAGGGCAGAGCTGACACTGAACTATACTGATGTGGACACAAGGTTTCTTTTGGTTTTATTAAGCCATTTATATTCAGCAGCAAAATCCGACATTTTTCAGCTCATATGATGCATAAGCCCAAAGCATATGTTAACACTAACTCCTACTGACATAAAGGCTTTTGTCAGGAAATGGTCTCGATAAGCCAACCCTATTGTTACCTGTTATATAAATGCACAGACAAACCAGTGTAAAACCTTACTGACATTGGAAGTAATTCAAGAATCAGATGATCAATGTCTAATCATGGGTAAGAAAAAGCTTGCCCAAGTTTTCATTTCCAGCAGGACAAACTACTGTAACTGTCTCTTCTCATGTTTCTCTGTAGACTGTACGCATCCTCAGACTCCTCCCAGGAAACTCAGCTCTTCAGCTGCAGTCCTGATAAAAACATGATTTAAAAAAAAAAGTAGAACAGAGCACAGTGAAAAATACTTCTGCTTGTCTCTATCTCACTACTGTGTATGGTCTGGTCTGACTGACTTTCACCATATGAATCCACTCAGCCTCTCAGATCATGTGGTAGTGATCTAAACCATTCACAGTTTTGAAGTAAATATGAAGCATAAGCATTAGCCTTCAGTTCTCCTCAGTAAACTTCCTCATAATGCAACTATTATTAAGAGTTCATATATTGTAACTGACTTCCAAAACGTTTATTAAAATTAATCTCAGTTTCGAATAAAAACATTTTATTACAACCTGGTATAACACTGATGTATAAAGTGTCTGTAAATATACTTTTTTAACCATTTCTAAAGCCAAAAGTTACAGAACAATAAAGTATTAGAAAATGGTACTAAAAATGTTTATGTTTGACCGAACCGAGCATTAATCGATATCTACGCCTATAAGCAAACAAATAACAGAATTTTAAAAAGCAAAATGTAGCTATTGCTTGGGTCTTAGATTATCTCTAATCCTCCCGTAGACAATTTAGTCCAGTCTTCAGATATTGCAAATATGTATTTTTCTATCTTCACATTCAATTTAACTTGTTAAACAACAGTAGGGTTGTTTTCCAGGAGGCTCAGAAAAGACTATTCTTCTTGAGGAAGTGTAGCTCTTTTGATATTAGCGAGAAGCTTCTTTCCCTCTTTCTATCATTGAACCTTAGCTGGTGTCCTCTTTTCTGCTGTGCTGTGCTGAAGTGGGCAGCATCACTGCTGATGATAAAAAACAGGATCAATAAGGTGGTTAGAAAGGCTGCCTCAGTTACTGGACTTAGCCCAGACTCACTGGAGGCCACTGTAAAAAAGAGACCTAGGGCAAAATTAAAAATGGTTTTGTATTTTGAAGGTCATCCATTAGAAAGTGTTTTTAGGGGACTTTAGAACCCTATTTAGTGAGCAGTTGCGAAGCCTTAGTGGAATGACTCAGAAGGTCAAATCGAGTCATTATTACTTTTATTGAACATTTCAACAGCCATTGAAGCAAAGTGCTTTCCAGCAGAGAAATAAGATTGCTGTTTTGAATTTACCCAACAAGTCTAAATATTAAAGTTAAGGCCTTACAGTGTGTTTTATGAAGTAATTTGAATGTTGCCCTTAAAACCCTACAAAAATATATTAAACTAAATGTACCTGACTTGCAAGATTAAGACCCAGCAGTGTTATTAATTAGGAAAATTTACCAGATTAATTGAAAAATGAAATCCTACAGAATTTTTCATGGAAAACCCACCAATTTGAAAGACTTCCTATGAGCAAGCATATTTGTGAAGAGGAAGAGCTTCTGTTCTTTTTATTTATTTATTTATTTTTAACAAACCCTTTGAGATGCTTTGCACCTTTCAGCTGTTAGTCATGTATTAAATCACTTTTTATGTAATGTCTGTGATGTTTGTTGTTTGTAAGAGTTGAATTGGTGGAAAATTAGTTGTCCCACTTATACAACTGTCTAATCTACTCTAAACATTATCCACCTTGAAATCACTTGATATATTTTGTACCTATTTAGTTGATTTATCTTTTTGTTTATAATTTAACTTTCTTACTGTATTTTCAGTATAATGATTTTGTTTTTTTTTAGCAGCAGTAGAGGGGATGGTGCAAAAATGTATGGACATCAATAGACAAAATAAATAAATAAACAGGATAAATATGTAAGTACTGTTGATAGTGTACAGATTTTTCCATATACAAATTCAGATATTGCACAGATTCCTTTGAATATAAGAAAACATTCATACTGCACAGATTCTTCAGTGAGTAGAGAATAATGGTGTTCTGTGTGTGTGTGTGTGTGTGTGTGTGTGTGTTGTACCGTCTTTTAAATATGCAAATATTCATAAAGCACAGATTTGATGCTGCACCAAAGTGAAACATGCTGTTTTCTACGTGTGGTCAACTGAGAACAGTGCTGGTAAAATGTATATTTGATGGCTGTCTTTGTGTATCAAATATACTAATAAACTTGTCATACATTTGTTTTTGGTGGGATCTGTATCTGTGACACACTCGTGCAAACAAGCAGCCAATCAGCTCAGCTAATGTTTCCTTTCCTTTTTTTTAATAACAGAACTTTATTTAACAATGAACATACACACAAAGAATTTTACAAATAACATAAGTAAACAATTTAACAGACATGTGCTCATAATGATAAAACTATTTTGACAATTTCAAATTCTATGATAATTATTGTTATAAATATTATTAATAAACAATATATTTACAACAAAACAAAACACAAAGGGGGGGGGCGGTGTCATTGTTCTTTTTGGAACAGTTCTTTAAATATTTTAACAGATTTAATGTTTTTTTTATTTTCACGTTATTTAATGTTTTGATATTTTCTTCAAAGTCAATAGATAATTGAACAAAAAATGGTTTTACATTTGCCAATCTACATTTGTGAATTAGAGATTTGCCAATTAGAATTATTGAATTAATTGTGAATTCTATTTCTTTATTTTTGTGATCAAAGTAGTAGTAGTTTTACACAATATGTAAATCTTAATCTGATTCCAGTTGAGCCTGCGTTCCCTCTTGTTTTCAGCACTGTGGACAGCATCACTGAGGGGGCGGGGCTTGCTCAAATTTTCCTGCTTTCTGATTGGTCTGTTCAAGCCGGCAACAACCCTCGTGTTTTCGTCGGCCCTCGGTTCTGTTCGGGCGGGTTCAACCCGAGCGGAGGGAGGAGGAGGAGGGGGGGGATATGTGCGTAAAGAAAAGACCTTACGTCACGTGACCGCCTCTTACTCCCAAGCCCATCATTTGCGGAATAATACCGCCACATATCTGTGTGAACAGCGCCGGACCAGGCCGTTTCCACCCGCGTGTTTCAGTGCAGATTAAATCATAGGATGCAATTTCAACGACCGGAGGAATTCTAGCAACACTGTCGGACTAAACGGGAGGTAAGGCGGGTTTTAATCACTGCTTTTTCATTCATTACACTCCAGCCGGGGGGGAAGGAGGAGGAGGAGGAGGGAAATTAACGCACAAAAATTAATCTGGCTTCTGTAAAACCTCGATGTCTGTAGCAGGGGGGGTTTGTTTATTGTGAGGAGTTTGGTGCTCGACCTGCTCGGTGTCCGGACGAAGGGAGAAGCGCCGATGCACCGTGTCGCACAGGCTGAAGGACGCCTCTCCATCGCCTGTGATCACGATGCACTGTGTCCTTCTGCAGCATCACTGCCATCCGCTGAAAGAAATACACATTTAAGACCGTCTGAGAATCAAAAAGCGTCCAATCAAACGCGATCAGGCAGTTTTTTTCGTGCGTGAGATTGCTTTGTTAATGCCAGAAAGATGTCCTTCATACATCCACCATGATATGCACAGCAAATGTGGCTAGCAAACACAGCCAGATCCAGTGGAAGGCGGTTGATTGTAGCCTTCTGGCACTGATAAGGAGTTAGACAAACAGCTGTACTAAATAGAAGTCAATCTGAGGAGTGTATAGGCCTGTAACACGCCTGTTTAGCGCCCTTAGGATGAAGCTACATTTCACGGATGGCGACAAGGCCACACTGTTTCCCACATTAGCGCGCCTCGCACAGCTGTGATATGTGCTCAAGAAAACATCATCAGTGTCTGTTCATTAAAAACAATGATGTTCTATGAGGGCTGGATGTACTGGAAAGGGCCTGGGTGCCACCTTTAAATCACATCAGGATGGAAGGTCTTTTTTATTAAAGTGTGTGCTGCTCTTCAGGAAGGCCTATGGAGGGTTGTGGCCTGTTGCTTACAAGGAGTGTTTGTGTTGAGAGTGATGTTGCTTTTAATAAGACAGATATGTTCTTCGCAGTTCGGTTTTCAAGGCAGCTGAGATTGAAGTCTGTGTGCCCGTTTGCAAGAGGTGGAGAAAAAGCCCTGAGCGGTAATCATGGCAGGTGAGCTCTACTTTCCTTCTCATCCAACTAATGCAAAGTCAGCTCATGTACACAAGTTCGTTCTAATCCCACCTGCAGCTGCCTTGATTGGATTTCTTCGTAAATTTGGCGTGTGGCATTGAATTGTGTCTTTTGCATCCTAGAAAACAACTTCCCTCCCCTGCCTCGATTCATCCCCCTCAAGCCATGTTTTTACCAAGACTTCAACGAGATCCCAGACCAACGGCGCACCATGTGCAAGAGGCTCTACTACCTCTGGATCTGTGAGTGTTTAAGTGTAGTAAATGCTACATGCTCTCCATCGTTGTCATCTATTTGCTAGCATTATGCGATAAGCTGGTAACCTCTAAACTCCTCCTTATGTCGTGTCGCTTTGTTTTACCCAAAATATTATGAGACTCAAACACCACAGGCGCTCCAGGACAGCTGGGTGACCAGCCTGACCGGTCTGATTACATGGCACAGAGCTGAATGAATGCCTTCCTACCCTATTTTCTTCTCTTTCCATGTTTTAAATAACTTTAGGTGACACATTTTGCTATTTGCTTTGACTAACAAAATGATCAGATTGATGCTGATCAAGCTGATTGGCACAATTACTGGCAATTATTTTGATTATCAGTTCACTTGTTCAGATATTTTTCAGGCTAGTTCCCAAATATTCTCTGTTTTCTATCTCTTGAGGTGATTTTCTGTTTCATGTCACTCAAAATTAGACAGTTAAACAAAACATTTGAAAACAACTTAGACCCTAAGAAACAGTCTTTTAACTTTTATCACAATTACACACTATTTTGTTACACTACATAGCCCATGTAATAGACAAAAGGACAATCAATTATGTGTCAAAAATTTATCAGCAGATTAATCAGTTAAGTAGAAATAATCACCAGCTTCACTCAAAGTTGTTAAAGTAGTTAATAGTAATGTGTCAAACTGTTCCTTTAACATGAGCATCATGGTATGTTTTTCATTATCACATAGGTTCTGCCATTTGAACACAAGAATGTAAGTGTGGTGAAGAAGTAGTTTAGTGTACACACAATGTTTAGAGCTTGTAGAGTAGAAACTGCGTGCAGTGTGTGCCAAATAAATTGTAGCTCCAGTCTACTTCATGTAATATTACTGTAGCTATAATGTAGAAATGAAAACATTGTCTAGAGTAGGTGCTGAGATTCATAGTGATTAAATCCTGCTGCACTATGAGTAATGCAGCCTGTGAGATATTCGCCACAGAGGTTTTCGTCCTCAGTCTTTCATCCCGTGGTCATCCTTTGCTCCTTCTCTGTGACAGTGAATAGTGCCACGCTAGCTGTTAATCTGATTGGCTGCCTGGCGTGGATGTGTGGAGGCGGCGGCGCGACCAACTTTGGCATGGCCATCCTGTGGCTCATCCTCTTTACTCCTTGTTCCTACGTGTGCTGGTTCAGGCCCATCTACAAGGCCTTCAAGTAAGCATGTTCCCCTCCCGAGCAAACACGTTTCTCTCTGCTGAATCAGATGGTTTCTGACGTTGATTCTTCTCTCCGTGCAGGACTGACAGCTCTTTCAACTTCATGGCTTTCTTCTTCGTCTTCATGGCCCAGGTGGTAATCAGTATTATCCAGACTGTTGGTATTCCAGGCTGGGGAGTGTGGTAAGAGCTTACAGTTGCTTATTAAATGTAATATATGCAGTGTATTTAATATGTTTATTAATGGGTGACAAATGGAAAGAGAAAAACAACCTAACATGTCTCAGTAAGGTTGGCTCAAAGCCTTTTGGCTAAGATTCTCAAAGGTTTCACTGGAGCACTGAACAGCCTTCTTCAAAAACATAATCTTCTCTCATTTGGTGTTCTAATGATGGTGAAGAGCTCAATCTAACATCCTCCATATGTGTTTAAATGGACTGCGATCTGGTGACTGTGAAGCCTACAATTCACACATGCAAGCAGTTCCATTTGGTGTTTTTTTTCCCACTAATTTATTCAATTTTTCAACTTTTTCACCCACATGAATATATTTTCACCTCAGTGTACTGTAATATACTCTATATCAGTTCAATTCAGTCTTATTTATATAGAAGTAATTCACATGAATCTCACACATAGAAAGGTCAAGACCTCACAGTATTATACTGTAGAGAGTAACCCAGCGACGCCCTCTGAACAAGCACTTTGGCAGCAGAAAAAACTCCCCTTTAGCCTGAAGGCAGCAGAACCGGGCTCAGGGAGGGAAGCCATCTGCCTCGACAGGTTGGGATGAGGGGAAAGCGAAGTGAGAGAGACGAGCCGTGAGAAACAGACAAACAAACAAGCACTATAAATGATAAACAGGCAGGTTGGTGAGCTTAGCAACCACAGATCAGAAATATGCAGTACCGCAGCCAAGGATATCTGCAGAACGGTGCAGGGAAGAAGAAAACAGAGAGGAAAAGGCTCAAAACTATGATGTATATAAAAGCACAAAGTTAATGACTTTCTGCTGGTGGCATATAAATGTATAGAGGGAGAAAGCAGAAGTCGAGACCTTTAGCAGCATAACTAAGAAATGGTTCAGGGTCAGCTAAGCAGCCCTAATTATATTTTTTATCAAAAAGGAAAGTTTGAAGCCTAATCTTAAAAGCAGAGAGGGTGTCTGCCTGCCAAACCCAAACTAGAAGCTGGTTTCACAGCAGGGTAACCTGATAGGAAGGCTCTGCCTCTCATACTGCTTTTGGGAACTCCAGGAGGAACCACACGTAAATCTGTGCTCTGAGAATGAAGTGCTGTGTTTTGATAATGTGGTACTACGAGGTCTTTAAGATAAGGTGGAGCTTGGTCATTAAGAGCTTTGCATGGAGGGAGAAGGATTTACTATTCTATTCAGAATTTTACAGGGAGACAAAGAAAAGAAGCTAATATGGGAGAAATATGATCTTTATTGCTAATTCCCGTCAGCACTCTCACTGCAGCAGCCTTTATATAATTTATATATACTGGAGAGAAATAATAAATGTACAAGCCAGGTGTCCAGAATAAGTGTTGGTATTCAGAAATCACTGTAGTCACTATATATTTCATTTATAAAGCAATATTGAGCAAACTTCCAGCCTACCTTTGTAACCTTCTCTGTGTCAGCTCTGTTAATTACCAGCTACGCTCCTTCAAGTGGTTACTTTTCAACGTACCCGGGGTTTGAACTGATTTGGGGAAACCTGCGTTTTCCGACTATGCCCCATGGGCGTGGAATAATCTGCAGAAAGATCTTAGATCAGAGACACTCATCAATTAATACATTTAAGGGCATCATAAAGAATGTCATGACGGAGACGTGATTGTTTTTCTTGAGAGCTCCACTATGTTTTAATAGTTGTTCTTGTTGTTTTGTTTGTATTTGTTGCATCTTAACATGTTGTGATTGGCTGCTACGTTGGCCAGGTATCTCTTGTAAAAGAGATTTTGAATCTCAATGGGACTTCCTGGTTAAAGGTTAAGTAAAGATAAAAGATAAAACAATGTGATAGAAGTCATAGTTTTGCTTCTCTCGCTGGCAGCTTGGTTCACTCTTACTGCTCTTATCAAAAGCAATCAGCAGATACAGAGACAGTCGCATCGAGCAAATGTAGGCCAAAAATAAAAATAAACAGCCTAAAGTTGAGTTAGTTTTAGACTTATGTAAACACTTACCTAAACAAGCAAATAACTGCTTATAGATTTGCGATATGAGCTTCATGGTGTGAAGATGTGTCAGTGTTTTCTACTCCCAAGTTTCCAAAACAGTCTGTTTCAAGTTTAAACCATACCATGAAAACAATGCCAGGAATAAACTGCTTTTCTAACTTTATTGTAATATGTGAATGTGAATGGTCTTAAGTGTGTGATGACTCTTTTGTTGTTCCCATCAGTGGCTGGCTGGCTACCATCACCTTCTTCAGCACCAACATTGGCTCAGCTGTGGTCATGCTGATTCCCACCGTCATGTTCACTGCGGTGGCTGTGCTCTCCTTCATCGCCCTCACAAAGGTGACCCAGAAATTTCTACCTCTGTTGATGTTTCAGCGTCTTCTATTTTGGCGTGTTTTGGTGTATGTCATTTTACTGTGGTCTAGATACGGTGGTCTAAAACATTTGATCACTTAACAAGTCTACAGCATGGTGGTAAGCTGTGTTACAGTCTTAGACTATATATAAATATACATGTAGCAAACGGAGCTGAATTAGGAATTAGAGCTAAATAGTACAATAAAGTGTGATTTGTATTTACTTTATTAATTCGAGAAGTCATGTCATATATGACACATTTATATTAGAGTCACGACTGCAGATATCCTGCTGTATCCTGCAGCACCGAGGCTTAATAGAGTTCAGGATTCAGAACTGATTAAACTGCAGTTGATAATCTGGAAGTCTGTGTTTGACGGTTTGAAGTGAAGAAAGGTACAAAGATCCTGATAGATGACGTCTCCATGTTGGGGATGATTTATGATTTAAGTAAATAATGAAGTTACTGCATTATGTCGCATGTTGAACGGTGTGCAAGTCTTGCTGCAGGTATTTGATAAAAGATAAAAGGTGGAAAAACTTCTACAAACAACTGGAAGCAACAAAGTGAACTACAGCTCCTGATAACCTGGATTTCATTTATAATCGGTTGGTGTCGTTAATCTGACCTGACTTACCTTCATAGCAGAAGCTACAGTTGTGTTGTGGAAAATTGTAGTTGGTTGTAGCAGTAACATTTTAAAGCAATGAGGCAAAACTCAGCAAACATGAGAGGTGCTTAGTCATTTTAGAGAGGTCTGTGTTACCATGGAAATGCTTTCCATGTCTACCCTCCACCCCATATGATATATGCACGTAGCATTACGTTTGCAGTCACTGAGTTAATCTGAAGTGCTCATATTATGGCGAACAACATCAGTCACCTGGCTGGTTAGCTGCCTGCGTGGTAGGTGAAGTGATGGGACAGACTGTTAGTTGTGGCCACTCACACAGATCTTGCAAAAATCAAATTACAGCCACGACATTGTCAGTGGTGCAGAAGAATCATGCCACCTGGAGGACACAGATGTAGTCGGTGCTGTTACTGTGGAGTATTAACTACTTAAATTTCTTGTTTCTGGTAATTATAACGTTGACTAAATAAATATACAAGTCATGTACGTGTTATTTAGAGCTGCACAGTTGTCAATATGTACCATGAAGCACAGTCATAAAAGGCCTTTTGATTGCCAACTCGTATGTTTGTTGCAGGTTCATAACTTCTACCGCGGCAGTGGGGGCAGCCTGGGTAAAGCCCAGGAGGAGTGGGCCACAGGGGCCTGGAAGAACCCCCACGTCCAGCAGGCGGCCCAGCAGGCGGCCATGGGGGCTGCACAGGGAGCCATGCAGCAGAACCAGTACTCAGCAGCTCCCACCTACAACTACGACGACCCGATGTAGGACAGACGAGGGGGCCGGGCTGCCGAGTGGGAGAGCTAAAAAGGGATCAATTAAGAACACAATTCAGAATTAGGTGCCCTCCATTATAACACTGTACAAGCTGAATTCAAACAGAACAATGTAGAGAAAAGTCTTGTTTTGGGTGGAAATGTTATTGAATTTTGACACATGGAGTTTCATAATTTTAGTCAGTTCACATTTAAATCAACAGACAGTTATTTAAAAAGACAAAAAACTGTTCTTGCTGTTGTTTTATGCTGCTCAATTTTAGCTGGTCAATGTGTATGTTGCTTTCCAACGGAGACACATAATATAGCTAAAAGCAATCCCCTGAGCTTCATCAGTTTATTCAGGTAGGTTTGCACAGAGCGACTTCTCTGCCTCTGCCTGTGTCACACTTTTCATTTTTGACTTTCAATGTGTTCTTTGAGGTACTGTAACAGCTATATTGTTCATCGTGTTTACTTATTTCCTTTAGCCTTGAAGGTCACCAAATGCTAAAACCTTTGTTCAGTTGATGTACTGTAGTAGCTTTTTAGCTAACAAGTGTTACATAAATAATGTGAAGAACGATTTCCATTTAAATTAATAGTTTGATATTTGGGGGAAATGCCCTCACTTGCTTTCTTCTACCAGAGTTCACTGAGAAGATATTGCCATTCTCATGTTTGTACAATAAATGTAGTACTTACGCTAGCCGACAGTTAGCTTAGCTTAGCATTTAGACTAGAAACGAGGTGAAACAGCTAGCATGGCTCTGTCCAAAGATATCAAAACTTCTGTTTCTTCCTAATCATATGTTATATTGCACTTCAGAGGTTCTTGGAGAAAGACTTTGTTATGTTTGGACAGAACCACACCAGATGTTTTTCCTTTGTCTCTATGCTAAGCTATGCTAGCTAGCTGCTGTTGTTAGCTTTGTATTTACCATACAGACATGACAATGGTGTCATTAACTCTCAGCAAGAAATCAAATGTCACTTTGTCAACTATTTCTTAAAGTTTTGCTATTTATTTGTTATATTTCCAATGTTGGTCAAGAAATTAATTGTGTTGTTGTTTTTTTAAAACCATAAAGTTGAACTTGACCAAAGTCTCAACTAACGAATTTGAGTTTTTAAAACACAAAGCTAGTTTTAGTTTTGGTGACCTGTTCTTTCTTCTTCTGTTCTCTGATGATGATTCAGTTTAAGTCAACATCTTTACATTCTCAGGAAAGGTGCGATAGCTGTTTTTAAATGCTACCTGTAAAAGCCCGTAGAGTGTCAACACGTTGGGCTTTTGTCTCCCTTAAAACCATTCAGAAAGTTTGGTTTTGTCATTACTTACTGGTTATGTGTTGAGCAGGCTGATTTCAGTTCAATGAGTTTTTATTACATGCTAAAGTGAAGCACACAAAGTATTCAAGGATTGCAGTTTATTGGATAAACATTCCAAATCAATATTGTACAGGTTAAAAGTCAAAGAAAACCAAAACACCTGGAGGTCGGACATACAGTAAATAATAGTAATAATCGTTGTAGGTGGTCATAGCATCGTATGGAGTGATGGATGTTTTCTCCCTTTGGCAAATTCTCCCACTTAACCCCCTATATGTAAATGCTTCAATGACTTCTTGTTTCTGAAGTTCTGGATTTCAGGCCTTAGTGTGTCATTTTGTGGCCGTTGGTGTTATTCCATGAGTCGGTGTAATATGATGTTTATATCGAAGAAAATAGAATATTAAATTCAAGCCAATTATTTCTGTATGGAGTGAAATTTCACGAGAGGCTATGTGGGTGTGTAGCCCCGGGGAGGCTGTTCAGTCAGTCCTGTTGATTTCAGTGAAAAGGTTTCTGCCTCGTGTCACTTCCGAGTCTTCTTCGAAAACTTCTTCAACATTCAGTAGATGGTAATTTACCGTAATACAGTATTAGACTTGAAACAGATGTGAAGATACGTATCTGAATGCTCGTTATTTCAAAAAAAAAAAACCTGTGAGTCGTCTTGTCTGATTGTGATGATGTGGTGTTCAATAGGCTGTATGTTGTTTTTTGTTGTTTTTCTTTTTTGTACCAACCTCTTTATTTCTGTGTATTTTTGGATGACGTGTGGATGAATTTGAAGCACATGTTCGTTGTGTCTTTCCATGGCTGTGTGTAAAAGTTTTTTTATTCTAATTATTTTTTTTTTGGGACAATTTTAAGTAATGTTTGCACTGGATGACACCAGTGAAAACTAAATTCACAGTGAATTTACAGTGGAGCAATACTAACATCAATATGTTAAAACAGTAGAGTTATTAGAGTCAAGTGGGGTCCTGTTGTGCAGGCTTCAAATATTAACAACAACCACAACAATGTCAAGTGTTACGAAGTGAAAAATGGGCCTTGTTCTCAAGTTGGACACCACTAGTATGATTTTACAACCGCATAACATTTTCACCAGCAGATGCACAGACAGTAGTTACGACGTATAACCCTCTAAACGGTACTATACATCCGCTCATCTGTTAGTAAACGCACAGCTGATCATTTCTATAAATTGTGAATTTTTTTTTGCACAGAAATGAACAAACTAAAGCTACTTCTCTGTGTGTGTAGTGAGTTCTCCTGGTGAATTCTGGATCAGTCCAAACTTTCTGACACATGTACATACGGCACAGTTCATGGGATTATGGAGATCACAGCTGTGTAGTTTATTGTGTAGCAGGAGCTGCAGTGCGTCGGACAAAATACTCTGCATTTCATGTCGCTGTATGAAAGCTTCAGAAAGCCATTTCCCATTACCTCCCCCTGTCCCCCCCCACACGTACTGTATGTTGTTTGAAATGTATTATCATGTACTATATCATAACTAGATATGAATATATATATATAACTACTTGAGGTGAGGTAAATATTTGCCATGGATAAACACATTCAATAGGAACATGCTCTAATTAGGTGAATGAAACATTTGAGGGGGGCTGTGTCTCCATGAGTGACGTAAATGAGGAATAAATCTTTTGTGTATTACTTTTGTATTATTTGGTCTTATCCTAATAGATATTAAATAGTTCTTGTTGCATCTTGTTTTGTTATTTTATGAGTTTTTCCCACATTTTGCCAGAGTCTCTCCTACAGATGGAAAGTTTTTGGATAACCTGAACGATTAGGCTAGACTTTAACAGGTCTGAAAGAAAGAAAGCAACGGAAACATTTAGAATGAACTACATGCTGGACTGTCACAAAGCTTGAAACGAGGCTCTTTTCACAAAATGTTGACTTTTGTAGTTTTCATTGGCGGTTAACCTCTGCACTGTCCTATTAAAAAAAAAAAAAAAAGTTTTCAAGATTCATCTACCCTTCAACAAAATTTAAATGATTCATTTTTTGCCCTTGGTTAAAACCCACTGAAAATCCAATTTATTTTAAGCTGCTGATTCTGAACAGAGCAGCTTCTACTCCTCATGAATGCTAATGCGGTTTTCTAACAAGGTAAATCGCTTCAAAAACACGTAGGGCCTTTTTATGAGTACTTTGAAGACAGATCAATGACGAGTTTTGACATTCTTGCAACATTTCTCCTCAAACTGAATCTCTGGCATTTGTAATTAATCTTTTGATGCGTCAGTTCACCAGGAGGTTTAATTTCACCGTGTGTTTGACACCAGGTAGCGATGGATATAAACTCTGCTGTAATTAGGTGCAGCTAAGGTCCTTGTACCACAGTTATTATGCAGATCATATTTAATAGAAAACACGGTCACCTCTCTTGTGGAGCTGGATTACTCTTATTTAATTTTTGTATGAAAACTGAAAATAATAATTCTACTATTGTGGAATGAATATTGAAACTTTTTTCAACGCAAATCGATTTGTTTGAGGATTTGTTAAATGTTTTCCTCAAGTGACACAGACTTATTTTACACGGTTTCAAGACACACTTTTTTTTTTATTTATTTATTTTTTTACAGTTATATTAAAGCATGCTGGTGGAATCATCACAGTTAGTACTTTTACCTTTTTTTTTGTAGATTTTGTTGATAATATTTCCAATCTTTTACTTTTTAAAAGCAGGACTTTCAACAAGTAATTTAGAATTCACAATAACAACAACATGTCATTAGGACCAATTCAAAATTAGGTAGTTTTTAAACAATAATCACATGGCTAGAGGTTGTCATAGGTGTTGCCTAATTTTGAAAACAAAGGAAATCATTTGTAGTAACACATCATATATATTTTGCTTATGGCTAAACTGAGCATTTCTTCCAAAGAAGTTCTAGTTTTGTACCAAATTACATTGTTCTTTGCCAGAAAGTCGACATTTAATCCAAAATGTATACAATCGATGAAGCTATGATTAAACAGCAGGCCTCACTTTAAATGCAGAACACTTGTTTCATCCTCCAGGCTGGTTTCTTATGTGTTGCTCTGGATGCAAGAATCCAGAGCAACACAAGTATGAACGTGGTGTCAGCAATAAACAAAATGACTTAACAATATTTATTATTTCATAAATGTAATATATCCGTAATCCTGTTTGACACTATGCATTAGCTGGATTAATAAATAATAAAATAAAATCTTCTATCTTGTAATCCACCTACTCCAATGATACACAGCGAAACTGCAGTAATCTTAAAATTCTTTATTCATAAACTTGATGCAAGTTTACAAATTACTGTACATGGTCAAAATTTTTTTCAAATGGAAAATGAAAAGAAAAGAAAAACCAAAGCAAGCCAACAAAGCCAGACTCAATCATCAGCTCGTTGGTGCCGGAAAATGTATTGAGATAAATGAATCTTTTTCAACACACAGTCCAGTTAGAGAAGCGTGCAAGTCCAATCACCACAGCATGACTGTCAAACTTCATCTCTCGACATCTCCTGTGACCAGAGTTTTGGCATTTTGGAGGGAGGCATTCACACGAGTGGATAAAGGCTCTGCAGCAGAGACTGTAGTTAAAACTTCAAAAAGGTTTGTGGTGTAACTTCTCTGTGCCACCAGGCAACACAAGGCCCGTCAGAGGCGAGGACGCTTCTCGATAATTCCTCCCCCCCCCACCTCAGATACATCAGACATGTAACAACAGGATGTGGAGCTGAGAGAAAACATTTTGTTTTTTTTTCCTGATTTGAAAATATTCAGCTCACATGTTTTTGTTGTAACACCTCTCCAGGCACGTTGTCGCCAGTTGTGCAAACATTTTGAACCAGGAAAATTTAAAGACATACCAAGGTCCCATGTGTACTCCAGTGGGTATCGATGAATCGTTACACAGGGTGGTCATTGAGCTACTGCAATCCTTCCTGTTTTCCCAATTACATTGCTTTAATTACAAAAAGATGTGACCCATATTGTAAAGCTCGTTTCATTTTCCGTTTCTGACATCAGATCAGCGGGTGAGACACCGGTTGTACAGAGCACTAATTAATCCCAGAAAGTCACCCAGAACTCAACATGTACATGTACAGATCCCCCTCCTAAGTATTGTTTGTTACCTGAGTTGCCATTCAAACATACTTTTGCAGACAGTGTTAACAAATAAACTGCAAAAGAGCCGACAGATTGGTAGATACAGTGTGTGTCCTGTAGTATGGGGTACAGCAGTACTTGTTGTGTACTACAGTATATTGCATGGTCAAGGTTAAAATGTACAGTTTCATACAGGTACTCTGAGTTTCAGGTTTCAGTTTTCATCGCACTTCAAACGATCCTTCTCCAAAAGCAACGTCGGAACACGTCTGCGGTATATTGTGGCGGCAAAGGAAGCCCTACAAATGACGGACGTTTAGCTGTGGAGAGGGGATGAATCCAGCTGCGGGGGTGATGTCAAGTAACGGGGCAGCAGTTTGAAACGGGCGGGGCGATCGATTTGTGTCGGGAAGATGCAACGAATCTGCTGTGAAAAATGGGCAGAATGACGAAAGAGCAAAAAAACATCCAGATATCCTTAATTTATTTCCCCTGTAAAGCCCATCCCAGCAGTTCTGCTCAACAAAGTGACTGCAATCAACTATTGTTTATAACAGCGGTTGAGATGAAGCTCCTGTACAACATGCTGTTAACTTTGCACAAGCATCAAACTAACCATCAACCTCTACAGCGATAATCAGTTGAAAGAACAATAGCACTTGCAGGGCCATGAACAGAAATAAGGCAAAAAGAGCCCTTCAGCTTCAACATTTAGGCCTGTTAGAACTTCCAAAAGGTCATAACACTCATCTTCTGGTGAAAATATATCTTCTGTCCTCTTCCTAAGATATACAATATGCAGATTCGGAGATATATCCATTGGCCTTGTTTTCTCATGAACCGCTGGCTGATTTGTTCGACAACAACAGCTGATCTTAGTTCAATGACCTCGCAGCATTTTGATTCTGCTTGGCCCAATATTCTTCACACATTTTACAAAGTAAGCGCTAAAAGATACCGAGTAGTAGGTAACCTTAATTTTAAGTGTCCAAAACGTGAAATTGGCTCATTTATTGTCTAGGATGCTCAAATAATAAAAACAATAGCCAAATAATATTTCTAAAGACAATAATTGCTTTTATGTACCAGTTAATTTCCAAAAAAACAAAAACAAAAGAGAAACAAAATAAGTTGCAGTCAATAAAAACAAGTGTGATGAGGTGCCACTTTAAGAGCTTCAGTATCAATCTTGGTTTGAAATACCCATTTAAAAGAGGGCTAAGTGACTGTGAAGCCCACTTTGTCAAAGCAGCTAAAGAAAGAGCATTTCCCCCGCATTTGAAAGGAGAAAAGTTTTTTTTTTTTTTCTTTTTTTTTTCTTTTCAAAAGACAAATGAGCATATTTAGAAAACAGGACTAGTGATACCCTCACATCCTCCTCCTCCTCCTCCTCACTAAAACACTGAGGGGGAGAAGCAAAGTGAGACCAGAATAAAAGTCTTTTCCCGGAGCGGGGCGAAGGAATACTTGTCAGGTGAGCCAACGAGATGGTTTCCGCGAGAAAGATGATAAATTCCCAGTAAGTCAGAGAGGGAAAATATTCCAAAGAAAACAGGATGACCCAAAGACATGTTCCCAGTGCATAGTGGTAGTAGCTCCTTATCCATCCTCTTTAGGTGGTGTGTACCAGCCTGGAGGAACACAGAGAGAAACTCCTTTGCCAAACGGATTCATACCAGTGTGTGTTTACTGAGCCCACGTCATTCACAAATATCGACTCACCATTCTTTTCGTGAATCTGCACCAGGGATTTGTATGACTGTTGTGCTCTGGCAAGATTGTACTGGTTCTGAAAGACAAAAGATATTCTGTTAATTAAGAGCTATGTTTGTTATGCTGCAGCAACTATGGTCCTTTTTTTTTTATATAACACTGGAGCTGAATGACCTTGTTTGTTTTGAGCAGAATGAGACATTAACAATTCATCAGAACATGATGACATCAGTTACCTTATTGGCTCCAAACTGCACTCTGGCTTTTCCTTTAACCAGAGTTGCATTTATCTGCATAATGACAGATTCTATGGAATAGGCACTGCTCCAGCCCTAAAACACACACACACAAAATGTTCCTCGGTTTTCTGAAGTGAACAAAATGACGTCATAAGATACATCAAACGGATTCACGCACCTGTTTTGTGAGAAGTTCCATGCACAAGGCTCCTCCCCCTAGAACATAACTGAAATAAAAAAAATAAATAACAGCATTATGTGTGAGTATTACGTATTAAAGCTGCTTTATGCAGACAGTGTTCGCTTGAATCTTTTTGTAAACTTGCTGCAATTCAAGCTGAATGTGTTTTTCTGCCTTGTGTGAGAGAGTTCTTGATTGTTGCAATGTGGTAATTCAGAATTTTTAAATTTCAGGGGTAACAATTAGTGATTTAGGTCTTGTCCACACGTAGCAGGGTTTTTGTAAAACCGAATATCCTGCCCCCTCCATCTAGAAAAAAACTTACATACACGCCACCTCATTTTTAGAAAAAAATTCATCCCCACCTAACCGCTTAAGTGCACTTTTAAGCACATTCATATTCTACGTGAGGATGTAATAACTCCGACGACAAGAGCGATGACCGGGACAGACGGAAATTGTCACGCCATTCCTCCAGGAGCACGATTTCAAAGTTCTCCCACCAGCTGGCAGTGCATCCCGGTCTGACCCAAAACCAGCATCGTTGTCTTTGACAGAGAACATGCCTCGGACGTGGAATGGCAAGGCAGCAGAAAATAACCATCCTTCGCCTGTGTTCTTGTACATGGAGCGGTATGTGGGTTTGTAAAAACAAGCAAGCAAAGAGTGCCTGGACAAGAGACAACGCCAGCACAGTTCTGAGGGTGTCCACGCTGTTTCCAAATGTAAACACAGGTCGCATAATGTGATGTAAAGAACATATTTTGTCGCAGGCAGTGACGTTTCGAAACCTAAAACCCCGGTTACTGATGTCCACATAGAGACGCATAAACGGAGGATTCACAAATCTTCCCTTTGGTCGGAGGTTTTTGAAAGAATCGTTTTTAATGCCGTAAATCTGCGTTGTCGTGTGGATGACAGGCCACATCGTAGGAAAATATCTTCGTTTTGTGAGATACCCTGCTACGTGTGGACGAGGAGGCAAATTTGTTTAAGCCTTTTTTTAATTTATCAGAACCCTTTAAAGAACCTCTATGATTGGAGATGCATTGCCAAAACGTCAGACTTTTCAACAGAAGACTTGACAGCCTAATTTCACTGGTGTCTGGCCAGTGTTTTTGTTCACTTGCTAGAGTACAGATACAGCCAGTCATAAGCCACAAGACTGTACTCTGCAGTAGTCACGTAGGATGTAGTAAAATTAGCCCTGCACCGAAAAACAGCATACAGCGATTCATCAAATGATCTGACGTCAGCTTTATCAGCAAGCAGCGTATCAACACATCTGCAAGCACTGTATACGGCGTGAAACTCATCCTGAATAAAGCAGAGTTACTACTTCAACTTCACAAACTGAAACTAATGAATATTCTCCTCCAACAAAGTGGATCACGTTCCTGTGAGTGAGGACTTTCTTCGGTATACTTCACATGTAAGCTGGGCTGGGAAGACCTCGATATACTTACCCTCCGGAGAGCACAGGTGAGACAACCCGTACAAAAGGTGGGTCAAAAGGAAAATTATCCTGTCAAATAGAGAGGGGGGGACACTTCAGTATTCAGAAAACTCTTAACCCTTAAAAAACAGCATAAATAATACCACAGGACTCACTTTATAAGAGAAATTGAGCAGAATGTAATCCACTCCTTCTTTTTCTTTTAAGACCTGCAAGTCACTATGTAATGGACTATCTGGGTCTACCCTGCAACAAAGAATGACAAGTCAAATCGAACACAACACACAATGTTGTCAAAGTTGGAAAATTGTAAAGGCAACTCAAGGGAAGTACTTACGTCCTTAACTTGACATGCCATTCATAAAGGCTGTCATTGACTAGTTCGACTGAATAAATACCTGCGAAACAACAATGTTTTTACTTCAATCTGCTGATGAAATGCTCCAAGAACTAACTACAGAGGAGTGTGTCTTTGTCATCACCTGTCTTGTAACTCTGTGACCTGTAGATCTCCCTGAGTTCCTTCATTAGGCGGTCTGAGGCTTGCACTGAGCCAGAGACGGCACCCTGCAACACAAATCCCAAACAGTGCATCACACAGACGGTGAAACGCAAATAAAGAGGAGGATATAGAGCACCAGAGATTTTCAAGTCTATTTAGATGTTGAACAACAATTCTAGTAAAGTGACAGCCACACGTTTGTGTTCAGTAATAGAGGTAAACCAGCTCCTTAAAGTCTATTACAGTCACTGAACTCCATCAAGAGAACGAGCACTTACATTCAAATGATCTTGTCTCTGGTTTTTACGGATTTTCTCCAAGATGGCCAGATTTTCTTTTTCGATCCCGTCATCTTCAGACTTTTTCCCATCTGCCGGCTCCTCTTCTTTCATGTCATAATGGTCCAGGTCTTGGTCCAGGTCAATGTCCTGCTGCAGAAATGATGTTTACAGACAGGATGTAAAACAACTGGATGAATAGGTGATTGATAATATGAATCTACTGGACTGTCAGGAAGATATATATCTAGTGGCACCTCTCCCATTTCTTCCTCCTCCTCTTCTTCAGATGTCACCTCATCTGATGGCCCATGCTGTAGTGGGGTGAAACATTGTGATTTTTTTAAATAAAAAAAGCAACTTTCTGATTTTAGCTAAAACACACGGAGCTTTATTCCTGTTTGCCGTGCCTACCTTTCGCTCTTGGGTAATCGGGCCAGCGGGGAGAGGCTGGTCCAGCATTTCCACATCTGGATGTTGTGGCAGGTTGTAAAGCCGACAGAGATCACAAATGAGGCGCTTCAGCTGCTGAAGAAGCTTTAAGCAACATCAAGGGAATCAAAGGTCAGTGAAGGGAAACAAGCAAACACGAAACAATTCTTCAAAGTTTCAAACTAAATACACCTAGTATCCACTGGATCAAGTGAAATTCAATACAGATGTTCTGCTGTAACTCTACTTTTGTGACCCTGATAATATCTAGTTTTGCTGGCACTGTCATAGAGGTGTTAACTAAATTTTATGCTCAAACGCTGAGGTCGTAGCTTTCATGTGACCAGAAAGCAGTCAGGTGAAGCCAAACGTTTTCATTGGTTGTGCCTGTGTGACATTTAACAGGTCTGCCCAGGTAGATAAAATCATTCAGCTACACAGTCACACACCTGTCTGAGTCGTACATGCCACAGAGACTTAGTGCAGACTAGAGGTTTCTCTGTTCCCAGCTGACTAACGTCTACTTCTGAGGCATCCAGGGAGCATCAGTAAACTGTAGTGTCTACTGACAGACTGCATGTGATGTGTTTAGAAGACATCTGTAAATAGTAGCTTCAGAAAACAGCCCCCCTATCTGAACTACATTGAGTCTCTGCATGAACATCGGTCACACCATGCTATCTAACACCGCAAGTCAATTTTCATCCTGTGTGAAACACTGCGATATGAGCAACAGCCAACACGAGGCAATGAAGCTTAAAACTGCAACACTGAAAAAAAAACACACACACAATGTCTCCAGAAACTTTCTTTTTCTATAGTAACAGGTGCATGTCTTGTCCCTGCACCATTTTAGTGCCAGGCAGCAGCAAACCAAAGCAGTGAGTTAGAAATGACAATAAAATGTACTACTGCTAATAACAGAGCCAAAGTAGAGCAATTAGCTCCACATCATCCTTATGGGAATAAATGGTTTAAATGTACAAAATATCTATCTGCATGTTTATTCCTGTTGACAATCATGTACATCAGTGGTCCCCCAACCCTCGGGCCGTGGACTGGTACCGGGCTGTGGGTCATTTGGTACCGGGCCACACAGAAAGAAAAAAAAAAGTTTATTGTTTTATTTTTATTTCCAGCGCAGTCTACAGGGTGTTTTATTTTGAAAAATGACTAGCTTGTCTTCCCGTCACTTCCGTCTGTGGTTATTTTCTGCACTTGAGCTCGGCCGTTAAACGAAGCCGTCAGTCTAACCGCTGCCGAAATGTATAAAAAAAACATACGTCTCCTAAGAGCTTCTTTGGAAAGTGGAAGAGACTCAATGCTGAGACAGAAGAAAAAGTAAACTTTTTAATATATAAATTATTTTTTGTTGTTGTTGTTGTGTGCAATGACCGGTCCGTAGAAAAATTTCTTGCGTAAAACCAGTCCGTAGTGCAATAAAGGTTGGGGATTACTGATTTACATAATGCGTTAAATGACCAGTGTGCACTGGAACACAGGGTGTATCTGGGTTATTTGCTGCTGTACCTGAATGAAAAGTTATCAGCATAACCAATGTCAAAAGTCAGTCTTGAGCTCCGACTGATTCAGAGATTTTCATATTCTGCCCCACTCATATATAAAGAGGACAAAAAAATTGACATGCCTTTGAATATAATGTAGTCCCAAACAACAACACCTGTGACTAGGAGAACATAAAACTGTAATTTCCCCATTTCTAATAGCTTTTATCACAAACATTTTGAGATTTAGCAAAACAGATGATACAGCAGAACTGTTGTACTGGACTGCATCAGACTCCACAAATTCATCAAATTAACGCTCCACTGAGTGTATATTAGATTATCATTTTGTTCAGTCCTCTGTGAATCCGTATCAGCAAACTTACCAATGTGCTGCCTTTTCTCACATCCTCTAAACGCTCCAACACTTCAGCCAGACTAGGATCATCAGAGTCAACAAACCATATTGGCGGTGTTGAGGGATAGGATTCCTGCAACAGAGGGAACAAATAAGACATGGAAATTTAGCCCATCGTGGTTGTGTGGTACTGGCTTTGTTGTCCACAGAGTGTATAATAAATAAACAAGGCCACTGCTTTTAAGAGACCAAAACGTTGCGGTTGAAAACCTCATATGCATAAAAAGGTTCAAAGTTTATTCTGGAGGTACGAGTAATTTTAAAAGAAATATCTAAGCCCACACAACCACCCACTGAACAACATGACTTGTCTTCTGTCGGCTATCAAGCAAAGCATCTTGTACACAACTGACAAGTGGGTACGATCTGCTCTGAGCCTTCAACTGGGTTTTAATACAGTTAGTACATTAGGAGTGAACTTCAGCTTACATTAATGAAGATGCAAGAGACAATTCTCAATTGAACAGCTAACATCCATCCATTATCTATACACTGCTTAATCCTCATGAGGGTCGTGGGGGGCTGGAGTCTATCCCAGCTGACTTAGGGTGAAGGTCAGGGGACACCCTGGACAGGTCACCAGTCTATCACAGGGCTACACTTCCGTTGCCATGGCTTCAAATGATGCACAACGCGACTGTGATTGACCAATTTTAATACGAATCTAAATGAATGATCGATGTTTGTGTCAAAAGTTTTGTTTGTTGTTTTTTTTCAGCATCACAGCGGCAGAAAGATCACGAAAAGGCAGTTATTGGATGAAATCATTTTATAGTCCAGTCTATCACAGGGCTACACTTAGAGACAGACAACCAAGCACACTCACATTCACACCTACGGACAATTTAGAATCACCAATTAACCTCAACGTGTTTTTGGACCTTGTGGGAGGAAGCCGGAGAACCCAGAGAGAACCCACGCTGCACGGGGAGAACATGCAAACTCCACACAGAAAGATTCCGGTGTCCTCACCAGGATGCGAACCGGCGACCTTCTAGCTGCGAGGCAGCGGTACTAACATATACGTAATAAAATATAGATCCATTTTTTTAAACATACTATTTTTTAATTATTATTTAATGTATTGGTAACCATAAGGATACCATGGTGATGCTGCATCCAAAGGTCTATGACACAGATGAATCCATGTGCGGATACTCCTGTGTACCACGCTGTACTGTACACAGCACTAGGTTGGATATATCACAGCTGTAAAAACATTGGAGTTTCCTAACCATAACTACAGCTTTGATGTTGACATGACTGCTTTTTACAAGTCAGAAACTTGTAATTATGGTAACTCCAATATCATCAGAACCTAGTGTGAGCCACTAAAATTTGCATTCTGAAACAAAGCTGTCATTCAACATTTCTGTTATCTCCACACTGCAGCTGATGTGATGAGTTAGTTACTAACTCGAGTCATTTATCAAGCACAAATGCCATCAATTTGCTCGTTCCTTCTCTCCATGGTGCGGATTTTCTTTTGTGCATCTTCTTTAAGTGAATATCTGTGGGTTCTGGAGTGTTGGTCGGACAAATGAGACATCTGAAGTCACCTTGAATTAGGAAGCTGTGCTGGACATTTAAAACACACAACTAATCAAATAATAATAGAAAAAAAAGTCACCAAATTAGCCAAGAATGAAAATATCATGACTTGCAGCCTTACTCAACACCTCTTTAGGATCTGGTACCAAGGGACTAAGTGGCAACTATCAGAGCTTGAGGTGGAAGTCAGTGTCAAAGTACCTTAAAGTACAATGCCTCCAGCAGCTGACAGATGTTGGCTACAAAACAATTCCTGGCTCCAACTGACTACCATTTAAAAAGCATCAACCTCCTCTAGAGAAATCTCCATTCTATGGTTTGTTTTTAAGTCATTATTGCATGAATAAATACATTTTGGCCTTCAATTAAGCACACTTGCATTCATTTTGGATTTTTTGCTCTGTTAATAAGTTCTGAAGAATTCCTGAAGACTGATTTGTTGATTGCTCATTGACAGTTCACTTGTGTGCTGCTCTCCCTGATATCTGAACTTGCAGCATCTCAGACTTTTGAAGCTTTTGTTCAAGGAATAAACACTTATATCTGCTCACAGCTCCACTGTGTCTGCTGTTAAGGAGATACACTGAACCCCACTGGATGCTGTCAACCAACAATTTCAGAAAATGTAATGCTAGTACCTGATTACAGTGCCTGCCCTGTTAGTAAGGCTGAACAATTAATCAATTTCAAATGCAATTAGCAAATCGCAAAGGATGCAATATAGGATATATGGTGTGCAGCAGGTCTGACCCTGGGTTTAAACTGTTGTATCAATGGTTTTACAAAATGATGCCATCTTTCTTGTGTGACCGTCACACTTTTGATGGTACCTCATGTAGTCATTTTAATCTATGATACAGTAAATATCGAACTGAAGCTTGAATATAAAATATTGCATCACAAATCAAATTTTATTTGCAACATCTGTCGGGAAAATTGCAATTAGACATTTTCCTTTAATTGTTGAGCCCTGCTTCTGTATTGGCTTGTAACACAAAAGATGGCACCAACCGTACGCTGCAACTCTGGCCTCTGTGATTAGACATCGATGTATTAGGCAGAACTGGACGCCACATTTAAAGATGAAGCTTGAGTCAATCCAATAAAAGTTGCTCAATGGCACACATCGTAAAAAAATAAGAAATAAAAAAAAAACCGCTGCCATGTTTTAGAGGAGTCCCACATTATTAGAAACATAGAATCAAGCAGGCTGAAAGCGTTTGCCAGCCAAACCGACTGACTAACTTCCTATTGGATACACGTGTACATGAGTTGGATAAAAATGAAATAATCTTCAAGCTGCTTCAAGACTTTCCAAATGTTGTTGGATCAAATGGATAAAATTCTGCCCATTATGCTCACAAAAAATAATTCCCTATAATATACTTGCTCCTTTTCCAATGATTGTGAATGTGAAATTGCTCTGTGGGCCAGCGTGCATCACGTGATGAATGCAGAAGTGGTAGTAACACAGTTTGGTCATTATGCCAAAACCATTGCACAGCCCTGCACTGTTCCTGGGGGGCTTGCGTCAAACCAATCAGTGATGTCTCGCTTCGCTACTTCATCTTTATAAACAATCTCTGGGTAGAACCACATTTCACATACTCATCCTTCATTCTCTCGCAATTAGATCGGGATGTGTGTGAGTGTACTCTGGCTTCTTTGAAACTGACTCAAAGGAGATGCAGTCTGACTCAGCTCCAGTCTCAATATGACATGGCGTTCAGAGCATTTTAACAAGCCCGTCTGTGTCTCCAAAACCGAGCATATGTGGAACTGTGTGCATGCAAGCTTCTGCTGAGAGGAGGATGTGGTCAGGATGTCAGGAAGGTTGATCATCTGGGCCACCTGAACTGTACAAAAACAAGCTTCTGACAAGAGCGAGCCTCATCGCTCACCTTCCTTTTGTGGTGATTACCATTGTGTGTTTTACACATGTTTGAAAATGATTTTACATCACTAATAATGCAAAATAATGTAATGATTTGAGCTGAGGTGGTGTTAAACTCCACACAAACACCAGGCCCATATGTTACCTACGTTACCACAACATGTACCTGTCCAGATGAGCTCAGATTGTCAGTTGGTTGAAAAACCCCAAACTAACTCATGTACAGTGCAGACTATTTCATGTGTGCATTATGTCGCTGTTGGTTGAGGTGTCCACATAAAAGGGCCACGAACATCACCGCTTCTATACATGTCAGTTAAGTTCGCCAGAGGGATCAGTCTATTTACTGAAAAGGCAGAAAACACAGTGCAACAACATTCCATTAAACCGCCTCTCTTTTAACGTTAAAGACGTGAAGCGCAGCGTCTGTTAGACCAACGTATTCATTGTAACACTGTTTAAAAGCAGCCGTGATGGGGTGAAATCCCTCCAATATCCAAACTAAATGACATTGAGATTAAACTGGATACAGTTCAATAGTTACAAAGTTAACAGATGTAGTCCTGCGGACAGTAACGCAGTTATTTTGGCTAACAACACAAGCTAACGTTACTTTCAGTTAACAGGCTAGCAAAAGCTACCGCAGCGTCGTTACTAATCGACGTTTTATTGTACACTTTTCTAAAGTGGATTTAACACTGGACGTGTGTTGCTTTCTTTAACACACAGGGCTACTAAAATCTTGACGGCTAAACACCGGATGAAAATGAAAGCGGACACTTTATTCGTAGTTAATTTGTAAACACGGTGCCTTCCGCGGACTGATTCGGTTTCAGTCGATAGTCAGTGGCTGGGTTAGCTTGTGCGCAGAGCTGGCCTGGACTCACCGTGATGTTGCAGTGAATGATCAGCAGCTTCTCTCCCGTCACGTTGAATTGGCAACTGAGTTCATCGGGTTTCCAGTCTATTATTCTGAATCGTTCGTGATTTGGGTCAAAAATTGACTCCAAAAACTTCAGTTCGGCCTTCAGCCCCGAAACCGACATCTTCTACTCATCTCAAACCACCAGGCCGCTGGCAGAGGGGAAGTCGGGGCGGAATGCGACCGCGCAGTGGAGTCGGCTCTACGGATCTCGCATGTTAGCGTGAGAACAACAACAAAGGGCTGGAGAGTGAGCTTTATATGAACCTATATATGGTATACACTGCCGGCAGCGTTTGACAGCCAGCACACCACACTGCTCTCGTTTTTACCTCACAACACTTTCATTTAATAGTGGTAAATTCATAGCAATGTCTTGTACTAAAGCAACCCTAAACACAAAAGATCATTTAAAAAAAAACGTATATATATTATAATGCAGGATATAATTCACAACCAATTTAAAAATAAAATAACATTTGGAAATTAATTCAAAATAAACAAAATGAAGACTGGGTTACAATTAGACTTTCAGGGGCCCCAAAAGCCACCCCAGAGGGCAAAGTGACATCAATTTGATGTTGAAGATTGGTTAAGATTCTGACTACCATGATAAATAGCCTACAGAAGCTTTGACCTCCTTATGGTTGTAAAAAGGTCCGACCAAAGGATCAATCTCACATCCAATTGCTGCATCATTCATTGTTAATCAATATATTTGACATCAAAACAACGTTTCTGCACAAAACTTGACATCAAAATAGTGTTGATTTGATGTCTGGAAACAACACTCATTGGGCGTACAGGCGTTTGGGGGCATGCCCAGATTTGCACCCTAAAAAACATCTGAATAAATATCTGCCTCCAGAGTTGTCATTATGTGTCACCTCTTTCCAACCTTCCACATTTTCCTGTTTGAGATCTAGTGACCACAAAGTCCGCAACATGTGATCCATTAATATTTAACCTGTAGATAGCATAAGTATGTTAAATACTCCAAATGCAAGCTTTAGCAACCAAGTTATTATTATTATTA